AAAAAGCCGGCCGGCCGGGTCTATTTAAAAGTTTCATGTTATGAAAACCAAGTAATTAAATTTGTATGGCCTTATATCTACAGAGTAAATTTTTTTTGTAATTTCAGGATTTTATTCAGGTTAGAAAAAGTAATAGTTTAGCTTATACAATTTGATTTACAAGTTGTAAAGAGTAAAGTAAAGTATTAACTTTTTAAAGTGTTATAATAAATTTAGATATAGTATACTAAATTATTGAGAACAGTCAGACAAATCGGATATGTTATTAGAATCTGTAGTGTTATTAAAAGGGTGATATGTATTGTTACTTATAGAAGTGAAGTTGTTATTGTCATTCAAATTGTTGTTAAATGTTGCTGTGGTTTTGCATTTGTTAATAACTGGTTTAGTATTAATAATTTCACCTACTGTTGGATTAGCAGAAGTTTCTTAATCTAAATATTAATAATAAATAGATAAGAAGATATAAGATAATATAATAAAAATATATTTTTAGATTTGTATTTTACCTCTAATATTATTTAGTGAAGATCATAGTTGGTTTATTTTTATCTGATTAGAGATAAGATTAGGTTGGGTAGAGTTTAGATTCAGATCACGATAGGTTGGTTGGGTGGGTTTTTTGCAGAGATGTTGTGTAGAGAGAGAATGTGAATTAAATTTTTTAGCAATATATTTGAAATCTTCTAATCTTTGATGTTTATTTATATTATTGGATTATTAATTATTGGTTGAATTTCCTTGTAGGTTATAAGCTGAGGTTGGGTAATTCTATTCAACTGTTTTACAAAGTATGAAAGATGATTTTACAAGCAATATGAGTTCTCCTGCAATAGAGAAGATCAGTTGTCGAGTTGTTGCATCCACTACATTGTTAAATCGGCTATGAAGAGGATATTTGCAAAGGATGATAGGGGATTGATTACCAGTAATACTATTATAGACGTCTTATTTTAATCTAAAGATACCTTGCCCATTCTAAGTTATTGCAAGATTTTGAATTGGGCCAGTAAAGATTCCAAAAATGGGAACAACAGAGAGATTATATATAGTGGGGTCATCTTTGAGAGTTGAGATATTTAAAGTAACATACTGATTGATTGTGATCTACAATAAGTTAGTAGTGATAATTGGTAATATAAAATTCAATTTGTTTTAGTAGATTGTTAATGTTAGATTGATTAATTATAATATAAAGTTTAGCAAACATTTAGTTCATCTTTTTCAAATGCAAATTGTCCAATAATTAAAGCTATGTTTTTTTACTAAATTTATTCTATAAGAGGAGTAAATTCAGATCAGAAGGCTTTAAACTTGTACTTAACGAAATCATCATTTCTAGATCTATAAATAGCTACACCAGAGATATATTTGTTTGTATTTGGTGACATTTATTAGAAATTTGTATACTATTAAAAGAGGCTCTAGGAATAAATTTTGGCTGGAGTTTATGAATTTGATATAAGGCTTGTTTTTTAAGCCAATTATATACTTTATCAATAGAAAAATTATACCCAGCTTTTAGAGAGGCTTCATACAATTTTTTCACGGTTCTTTGATAACCATTAGGATGGTAATAAATTTTACGCAAGGCAATAGATATATCAAGTTTTCGACTTTCTCCAGAATCTATATAAATAATAGGAATAGATAACATCTTTTTT